TTGTGTGCAGTCTCATGCGTATATCCGAATTCCAGTTGTATCGGAGGACGCATGCTCGCCGCGAGTAGCAAACGTCACGCTGAACGGGAATGCTTTGTCGCTGACGCCGCCATTGCTATCACGCGCTATAGTACAATCCCCGAGTGCCAACGCAGACGCTATAGTGTGGATGATTAGTTGCTTTATGCCTGCGACTCTCACGAATCTACCGCGAGTTGCGAGCAGACGTTTCATACGCGTTCCACTTTGCATCTTGATTCTCATCGTCCTCGCGACAACGACAAAAAAGTCGCACTACACAAAGTTCGTTTAATACGACCGCGTGCGTTATGTGAAAACGCATCCGCGATATACTCGCGAAAGAAGATAGTATAATCGAAGGAAGGAACGATCAAATCGAGGGACAAAGCAGAGTGCCCACGCGCAGAGCCAAGCAAGCGTTGTGTGTTACAGCAATCCAAGGTCCAAGGCAATTCAGGTATGTCCTTTCCATCACAATTGCAAATCATTTCTCGAGAAATCCTAGGAATTCCAAATAATCTTTATTCTATTTTCCTTCCTCGCATACAATTTTTTCTATCTAATCTGTCTGAAAATTCGCATAATAAAGAGTAGGGCATGCTTGACAGCTCTGAAGAAAACTGAAAGATTAAAATAGTAGTAATAGAACTCTCGATAAGAACAGTTGATCACGATAGCTAATAAACGCATGGAAATTTCGATCGTCTTGTATATTTACTACACCCTTCCTTCTCCTATCCTTCCCCTCTTTTTTGATGTCATTGCCTCCCTTCTTCACCTACCTCTATATCGATACTCTTTTGACGTAATGTTTTGACGTAGTATTTATTATCGTTTATTATCTAACATTGTTGGGCGGGTCTGCATTTGTGGAAAGGGAATCCTGAACTGACGAGCGAATTCCAACGAAAATGTTCACCATATACACGTCTAAACATACATAGATACATTTATGTATACATACAACACTCATCATACATTTCTGTACACACATGATATACATATAAACAAATTTTCATATTGCTTTTTTGTTTATATTAAGTATCTAGCTTAATCTGAGAACTCAACATTGTTTCTCCATGTAATCTTCTAGTCTAGCGATATCAGTTTGTAGGCTATAAAATTTTTATATAAAACAAATATTGCGACTTGACAGTTTTGGACGCCATTTTAAAATACCAAATGGTAAAAAAGATCTAAATTTAAAAAATTTTTCTCGTTCTTGATACGAAATTCATATGCTAGATACGCATTAATGCATAAATTTTAATTATGGAAAAGAATTTCAAGATCTATAAAGTTAATAAAAAAAGAGAGCAATACAAAAATTACTGCGTTTTGTCGGTAATACAGACAAGTCCAGCATCCTCTTAAAATGACGTTCAAAGCTGTCAAATCACGTCAATATTTGTTTTATATAAAAATTATACAGCTTATATCTACAAAACTGATATTGCTAGACTAGAAGATTACATGAAAAAACAACATTGAGTTTTTAGAATTAAGTTAGATATCTAATGTAATACAAAAAAGGAAAACCAAAATTTATTCATATGTGTATCGTGTGTGCAGAAATGTATATATGTATATGAATATATGTATGTATACATAAATGTATCTATGTATGTTTAGACGTGTATATG